CTCCGAACTACTTCCAATTTTCAACTCTTCAGAAGATGCGTTCGATGCACTATCATACTCCTGGGATACTACTTCTTGCACTAAGCTATGCATACCCATTTTTATGCCCGCAGTGACATTAAAATCAAACAACATATCGTCATCATCGTACACGTTGTGGTCAGAGTCAATAAAGTCGAGATCGTCGTCTAACTGAATGTCTACAAATGTAAGAGCAACGAGATTAAAACAGAGATAGAAAATATGAATTCTTCGTACAAAATGCAACATCATTTCAGAATTAACACTTCATGTATATTACACCCTCACTTTTCAGGCTGCCTCTAGATAGATAATTGAAGTAAAGCAAAAAAAAAAAAAAAAAAAAGGAAATTTGATTGCGGCCATGCCGATTTTTCCTTACCAATTGATTGTTGTTCAATGTCATCCATGGTTGTTTCAAGAGGCCTTTTGTCGTGACTTCTTCCTCGAAGACAAGATTTTTAAACTTTAGCTGGAGTTCGACGACGTCTCCATAGCTTCGAACGCACGAATTTTAGAAGGCGGTAATCGTGACTCAAAATGCAACGACCATGTTCCCAGAGCTATGGTTGGGCTACGTTGGGCAGGCGACGGGCGGTAGATGACGGAATTGCTGTCACGTGATAATCTTGGGGATGGAATTGTTGGATTTCAAGAGAAGAGAGGTTAGGGCTCCTCCCGGTTTAGGAGAATGTGGATGGGTGTCGGGTTTTGGGGTTGGTTTTTTCAATCCTTTTTTTTTAACTATAGCACTTATCCTGTTTGGCATCCATATTCTCCATTTGTAACGTCACATCATCATCCAAGTCAATATTCCATCCAAATTTGTAACGGTTGTGAGCTGAGTGATGAAGGGTATAACAAATGGAAAAGTTCGGTGATGAGTGAGGCGATTTTCTAAGTTTAGTGATCCGGTGGAAACCTTTTGTGAATTTCAGTGACTATTTCGGTAATTCACTCTCTCGACTGACCTCTTCTTTGATCACCGTGAATAACAAGGCCTTTTCCATCTCTGACTTAGATCCAACCAAATGTTTCATCTTCTATTTCAAAAATAAGGTATCATATGCATTTTTAATGGCGAGAGTATCACGATAATACAAAATCATATCTCTAAACGAAGTAAACGAAGCAAACAACAAACACAAAATGATTAAGGCTAAATCTTCTTCATCATACTCTACCTCTAAAGTCTCCAAATCAGCGACGATATATTTAAACACAACCAGACGATCTTTAAAAGATCCGCTTTAGTCATACACAATTTCTACAACTTCAATCACAACGATGCTATTATTTTCTTTTTCAAAACGTCCCAAAGAATATTGTTTGAAAGATGAAGATGGATCTATGAAAGAGCATTCTGATTCTTTCGTTGTTTCTTCTCCATCGTCCAAGTTGTGAGCATTTTGTCAAATCCTAACAACGCATTATCCAAATCCATTTCTGCAGGTATGGCATGCATATTCACTTGCATCGAATTTCACACTTAATGGCTGCCATCAATAACAAAAACCTCAAACAAATCACAATCAATAGCTCCGATATAACTTGTTAGAAAATAAAACGAATTGATATAATATATATGACATATAATATGAAGTATATGATCGCAAACAAATAACTAGATGAAAGACAAACAATTAATTAGTAGAAGAATAAAGTACTTTATTCAATTGACTATATGTAGAAAATACATATAATAATTGTACTAACACAATTATTCTATATTTCAGTGATACAGAACTTCTTTTGAAAAGAGTGTAATATTTATAGGGATGCATGTCAAACCCTAGAGATATCACAAAAATGGAAACAAGATAAAAAAAATCATGTTTTATAAAGGTAACAATATTTTTCCAATAAAATCACATGTAATAAAGGAAAGAATATTTTCTCAAAAATCCAATCTAATTTGGGTAAAAAAAAACTCAACACAATCCTACGTGGTTCATTGTTTCGAACACGAAACATAAATTGTCAATTGGTTTGGACTCAGCATAACAAAATTTATCAATTACCTTGCCTGTCATATTTCTCGGTTCCTTCAACCTCCTCAATTATTCTTTAATGCATATATTTACTATACTATTTCTTGCTTTGATTCTACTGGCCATTCCATTGAAAATAACGAGCCAATAGAAAATCAACGTGATCTAGCATTGAATCTTTTATTTTCAGACTGCAGATAACATCCTTAAAAGATAGATAATAGAACTTGACTCTATTGTCACCTAGTACTTCCCACCAGTTTGAAACAGACTTTTATTTTAAACATCATGTGAAAATTGACTGGTGCCACTGGTCTCTTGTTACACAGGATGCCGTTGTTGAGTACCAGAATTTCGTAGATGCTTCATGCTTACCGGCAACATTCATGCTGAATGGGGCTCAGCTTAATTCCCTCACTGTTGGGGAAATGAGAACAAAATCCCACATTGGTAAGATATGACGTGAATAATTCATTGATAAGAAAATTGAACAGCTACTTCTAACGTGTTAAGCTTTTAGGATGGAACATCAATTGCGCTATCAATAACGGCATCCCAAGACGTGGTAGTATACCCGTCTACATTCAATTTTAGTTAATTTTTTTGTCCGTGGCTACTTCGTTCGTATTCTTGGTTTTTGCTGAGATGAGGCCCCCTATTCTGTATACTATTTTACTTTCTAAAACAATTTTCGTAGATTATCCTAGAAATTGTTAAGGGATAAAAATTTTATGTCGATTAAAGATGAAAACATAGACTAATTTATAAAGGATTAGACTACTCTTCTTAACAATGTTGACATTTTAAAATGAAACTCCAAGTCTTAACTTCGTATCAGAACCCATTAAACTCCAATGAACAATTCGATAATGAGCACACAAATTTCAAAATTGATTTACTCAAACGAGCCACTATTTTGCGAGGGCATATTAAGGGATAATCCCACATCGATTAAAGATAAAATATAAATCAATAAAGGATTGGATTACTCTTAACAAAGTTGACTTTTTAAAATGGATCCCCAAATCTTAACTGGAATTACCATAGTAGCGTAGCAATAATGTTGCCATATCAATGTATGTTTCATTTATGTTGCTAGTTTCGATTGATTGATGTTTACACATATAAACTAGATAGAAGGAATTCTATTGTCTCTTTTCTAAGGTCTTTAATAATAGAATTAGGATTTGGACCATGCTACACTATCAGACCTGTAAGAGGCCTGGTAGTGCAGCCCCTCTCACAGTTCGAGGTGGGGGTGGGTTTTTGGGGGGGTATTTTTTTAATCATAGGGCTCGTCGAAGTGAGAGAAAATGGGAGAGGAGATCTCTACCAGTCCTGGTAGAGGAGCATTACCCTTGGGATTTGGTTACCCAACAATTATATTTTAGAGAAAATATCAAGATGGCAAAAAAAAAGAAAATGAAAAGTTGGATAATAACAACACAAGAATTTACGTGAAAAACTTCAAAAATCACAGGAAAATCACAGCATGTCAAAGGATGTAAAGAATTATTGCAATCGCACAGTATTTCTCACTATTTCCATGAACACATACATTAAGTGATTGTTTGATAGAAATTTTGTTAATTAATTTTTTAATCTTTAGAGATAAAGTAAGTTTTACTTGTGAGAAAAAAATTCAAAAATAACAATTAAAATAGTAAAATAACGATCAAAAAATTGATTTTAATTAAATTAAAATATCTTCCAAACATGCTTTAAGCTTTTCCACACTCATACTATTAGACTTTGAAAAACTACAAAAAAAGAAATAAGAATTTTCCTTCCTTAGGCGTGACTTTTGACAATTGGCAAACATGTGCATTCTTACCCGACAATTTGTACTATTTTGCACCCGAAATCTTTGCCAAAATCTACAAGATTGCAAAAAGGTGACATGCGCTACAAAAAGATCTTCATTTGTGGAATCGCGGTGCTCATAATGTTGACCTTTTTCCCATACTTTAATGCACTTTGGCTTCTTATGAGACAATTTTTCAACAAGTACTACAATTCGTGATGGGAAAGAGTACTAGACTTGACTGATCGATCTGGTTCTTCTTAAAGTTTTTTTATCGTTCTGGGGTATTAGAACCTAGAACTGGCCGATTTTTGTCCAGTTCTGGTTGTGGTACTCAGCACCAAAATCCCATTGAACCCGAAGCTTTTTTCTTCCCTTATTTTGTCTTTTCTAAATTTTAGAGCTAAGCGTGTACTCCGCCCAAAGGCCATCTCCAAAGGAGATACCAACATACCCAAATGCACCAAATTTTGACGTAAAAGCTCTTCAATGTGACACCAAAGTTTGCACCAAATTATGCAGACTCAAGCCTAGGCTTTTTTTCCCCCCATTTGCCAAACTAATTCATGGAGGGGATTTGTGTCATTGGGGTTATATATTATTTAATACAATAAATTTTTTTTTTGTTATTATAATTATAATTATTTGCATTTAATATAAATTTTAATAATGTAAAAAATAATAATTAATGAATTAATTAAAATGAATACAAAAAAATTAAAATATAACAAACACGATTGTTCAAAGTTAACGAAATATATTACAACAACCACATGCACACATTACTCTAATGTTATTTAACGTAATTATTTATCTAGTAATTTATGTATTTTTAAAATAAATTAATGAATAATTTCAAAATGATAAATTATTACGAATAAAAAAAGAAGAAGAAAATGATTAAATATTGTTCATTAGAAGTAAGTCTTGGTGTAATGGTTAGAAGTGATTTTTAGTTTGATACAAGATTTGGTTAAAATGATGCAAAACTTACCTCAAATTTTGGTGCAGGATTAAAGATGGCTTAATGTTCTCTCAGATTTTTCTTTTGGGGTTAAGGACATTGAGATTGAAGAATCCATAGTGCCTGCTAAAGGATCTTAAAATCAACTACAAACAGCAATAAATTGTTCCTGTATCGTTGCGATTTTGTTGCTATATACTGATATAAAAGGAATATGGAATTTCTGTATAAATGTATATAGGCGTCTAAATTTGCAACAAAATTTATTGTCATTTCTTCTTGAAATAGAAAAGGCAACAAAAATAGTAATTATTCTTTTAATACTTAGTTTCTTGTGCGATTTTTCTGAAATGTTCAGTGTTACTCCACTAGACGACTCGATTGCTGTACTGGTTTCAAGTTCTCATACGGTTCCATAACGAGAGATGGAACCAATGGATCATTTTTATAAGCTATCCACTGGCAATCAGTTCTGTTCTCTTCGCCCGCACCCTGTAACTACAATTGAATAATGATAAACTGACAGATTAATACACCTTGCAATAATGAAACTGGTAGACTTAAAGATTTGAGGATGAATAATTTTATCTGGTAATATGAGCAATGAAGGATTCCATCTCCTTGCGAGTAGCACCACCTTCCATCAATGATTGCTTTACTGCCTGTTCTAAATCGGCTGCCCTTTGTCTCATTTCTTCTCCTTCTGCTGAATCCATCAATCTTCTTACAGCCTTCTCCACGGTTGATGATGACACCAATTCATCTCGATCTGCCCAATTCCGTACTTCCAGGCCAATTTTCAGTATTTGCGTTATCAGCATGGCGTTTGTAGGCTGATCCGAATGCATCGGCCAAGCTGTTATCGGCACTCCCATGCTTATGCTTTCTGTACATGAATTCCATCCACAATGACTCAAGAAACCACCGGTCGACGGGTGTCCAAGAATTTCCAGTTGAGGCGCCCAACCTCTCTCAATTAGTCCTCTTCCTTCCACTCTTTCTTCATACCCTTCTGGAAGTGGAGCTCTCCTAACATCTCCTTCAAAGACATCACCTTTATCTGCATCTCTCAATACCCATATGAACTTCTGTTCACTCTGCTCCAATCCGAGTGCGAGCTCTTTGATTTGTTCATTGGACAACGAAGACGTTGAGCCAAACGAAACAAATATCACTGAATTCTTAAGTTGTTTGTCAAGCCACTCTAAGCATTTGGGACGGCTGTTTGAATCTTTTCTTTCATGTATCACCACCGGATTAAACGGTCCGATAGCCCATAGTTTGTCGGTTCCCTTCGTATTTTCTTTTGCAAGCAAATCAAGATACAACCCTTCTATTAATCTGCTTGCATTATAAATATCTCCAGAATTGAATTTCCTCGCCTCTCGTTGCAATTTTTGAAATTCTGAAAATTCCGGAGGCAAGCAACCTTCCAGAGAAGGAAGGGGTTTTCCAGCGTATTTTCTATGAAATGAGTATACACAGAAAGCCGACATACTTCGAAAACAATAGGACTCAGCATTTGTTACAGAATGTATGTCCTGAACAACATAAGCCATTAGAGAATCATAAATGACAACTATTCTTTTGGCTGTGCTCGAAAGTTTGTTTACAAATGTGTAAACAGGTTCGCGTAGATGTATCGATGCTTGAAGTGATGGAAGGATGTGTGTTGGAAATTTAGTGGTAGCATTGGGGTCAGGGGGAGGGGTAGGAAAAGAAGGCACTGGAAAATCATGGAAATGGATATTGGTAATAGCTAAAGGATCCCAACCATGGACTCGAACCTTGGCCTGGCGGTTGTGCATGGTGGTGCCGACGAAATGGACAGGAACGTCATAGGCTGAGACGAGGCGGGAGAGGTGGAGGAGCTGGTTGAGATGGCCTTGTGCTGGAAGCGGCACCATTACCACGGCAACTTGAGTCATTTCTTCAATACCATTTATGCAATGTTTTTCCGATGTGTGATGGCTGGCCATTGTATTGGTTTGATTTGCTAATAGTACCCTTTGAAGAGTCTGGCAACTTCATTTAGCCCTAAAATCAATTTTTATACCAGGTGAAAGTGGGTCCCCGTGTCTCAAAAATGAAGGCAGCAAAGGTACAATAATTGATTATAATTTGGATGAATATTTCTCCCAAACAGGCAATTAGGCACCGTTTGACACATTGTATTTTCCATGGATTTTCCACTTTTTTGGGTGTTTGATACACCATTTTTTCCAGGTAATTGTTTTCCATGAATAGTGCTCACACATGTGCCAATTCCAGCTTTTTAGGGAAAATGAATTCCCATGGGGTATGGTGGTTTTTCAAATTCCGACTTTTTTTTTTTTTTTTTTTTTAAATGGAAAAAAATTTTAAGAGTTATTGTAAAAAAAAAAAAAAAGTTCCTTCGATTGACAAATTTCATGTAAAACAAAGTCAAACGAATACTTAAAAATACTTTTATTTCAACATTTTTCACGTGAAAAATGTTGAAATAAAAGTATTTTTAAGTATTCGTTTGGCTTTGTTTTACATGAAATTTGTCAATCGAAGGAACTTTTTTTTTTTTTTTGAAATGGAAACAAATTTTAAGAGTTATTGTAAAAAAAAAAAAAAAGTTCCTTCGATTGACAAATTTCATGTAAAACAAAGTCAAACGAATACTTAAAAATACTTTTATTTCAACATTTTTCACGTGAAAAATTATATCAATCAAACACAATAATTTACAATTCCCAAGAAAATAATTTATAGGTAATTCAATTTCCTGAAATTGGTTTTCAATTCAATTCAATTACATCCATGCAATCAAACGGACCCTTATTTATTCTTGGGTGACAGCCCCTGGACAGCTTTGGCCCTTAGTGTATGCCAGAAATTTAATTTCAATTATTTTAAGAACATTTTTGGATTATTTTGTTACGATTGACTTATTTGTACAAATGATTTTGTACAAATTGACATATGCGTTGTTGATCTGAATTTCAAAAATTATAATCAATGGACAGCCAACAACACATGCATATGTCAATCTATTTGTACAAAAATTATGTACATATAGATTTTTTTTTAATACAAGATCTATAGATTAATGTATATAATTCCTTGATTACAAGAAAGTGCAGTATTTTAACATTTTCAAATCATTAATTTATTCAATAAATCATTTTGATTATTCCTGATAACGACTGCTTCTTATCCAATTGGTCTTTGAATGTCTCTTACACCAAAAACCGGAACGACATTAAAGTCTTGTGAACAGGTCGTGTCGGGCTGGTACGTTCGAATGTCACTTCTTACCCAAGTTTACGACAAAAAAATGTTAAGATATAAAGTTATCTCGTCTTGACAAAATAAGTTCATGTTTGACCGTTGTTTTCTGAAATTCATTGTTCTTCAAATTTATTTCCAATCAAATATTTCAAGGGACTTGCAACTTTTATTATCTTTTCGATAATACATTTCATCAATTTTTGTCTAAATTTACTAAAAGTTTCATTTTTAAATAAATCAAACGGGCTAAATGTTAAGAAATCCATGTGATGTTTTGAGTTGCGTTCTTGCACTTTGTCCCCCAGCATGAAGGGTCCATATTAAAATTCTTTGTCGTGCTCGCTTTCTGGAAGTAGGTTTCCGTGACAACAATGCGAGGTACCAAAGGGTGACAACTGTCTCGGCATCAAGAAATCTTGATGGTTGATAAGTAGGTGTTTCATGATTGATGGGAATTTGATTTGAGGGAATATGAGAGAATTCTTCTAAGTTGTAGCTAAAGAATACGTTTCATTTGATGACATCCCACATATATTAAAGATTAAATATATAAATAATGTATAAAGTTTTGAATTACTTTTCTTAATTAGGTTATCTTTTAAATTGAAAATATCAAGTTTTAATATGGATTTTGATAGCCCATTAAGCTTAAATGAGAAACTTGGTGTCAAAAACCGCAGCTTTACTTAGCCCCTTGACACTATCGCAGCCGTAGTTTGCCAAACTTCGACCGCACATTGTAAATATTACTTCAAGTTTGAATTGTTATTTTTTTCATTGTAATAGTTATTTCAGTTGTAAAATAGTTCTGATATTAGTAAACGTTTAGTATGATTCCTCGTTTTTTAAACGTCTACTCCTGTCGCTTAGATTTTTGTTCAGAATGCTATTATAGGGGGTATTAGTCGTTCAAAAATCTTTCAAACTCACTGGTGTCCGCCTCCTATACCAGCAATTGTAATTTTCTGCTTTCGTCAATTGTAATGTTCAGTTTTCATCAATCAATGTTCAATTTACTTTCAATGTATTCAAATTTTCTATTGTCAGCTTTCTACAAAATTGTAATCAAAATTTCTTTCGTCCCGACGTGATCGAGAAAAGGCAAAAGATAGTCTAGTGGAGTAGACTACTGCCGCACGGTGTCCCTTTCTGTGCCAAGAAGAAAGGCACCCCGTGAAAGTTGGTATCAAAGCTGCGGCTCACGACTCTCGATAAAAAAGCTATGGATCCAATTACATCCCACACCACTGAAGTGGTAGGGCCTCAAAAGAAGGGTACTACTAAACAGCGTATGGATGCGCTTGATGAGACAACTACTAGGTTGTGTTATGCCTTGGAAGGTCTCGAGGAAAAAGTCGAGATGGCCGAATCCGAGATTCGTGGATTACACATCCAACTGGATGAAAGCCAAAGGGTTTGTGTAGCAATGACTGAAACTGCCGCAATCATTCCTGATTTGCAGGATGAAATGGAAGCGTTGAGAGCTCAATTGCGAGTACTTCAACGTGCGGTGGGAAATGGGCAAGCTCCCGTACCTAAGTATGCTCCTAGATTTAGAATTCCTAAACCGTGTACCTACGGAGGGGCACGTGATGCAAAAGAAGTCGAAAATTTCTTGTTTGACATAGAACAGTACTTTCTCGCAGCTTCGATTGAAGACGAAGCTAGAAAGGTAACCACGGCTACCATGTATCTGGGTGGAGATGCAAAACTATGGTGGCGAACCAAATATGCTGACATTCAGGCCAACAGGGTTCGAAAAGATTCTTGGGATCTCCTCAAGGAAGCGATCAGATCACAGTTTTTCCCGAAAAATGTCGAGTATCAGGCTCGACGGACACTTTGAGACTTGAAACACACGAGCTCTATCAGGGAGTATGTGAAATCCTTTTCAGGGCATATGCTGAATATTCGAGATATGTCAGAAAAGGATAAGCTCTTCACCTTTATGGAAGGATTGAAACCGTGAACATGCACGGAACTTCAAAGACAGAAAGTTACTGATTTGAGCACAGCCATGGGAGCCGCTGAATGCTTGAGCGACTACCAAACAGAATCTAGAAAAGATTGACCTTCGGGGAGTAATCAAGCAATTGGAGGTGGTAACAGACCTTACAAACCCAGCTCGAACCCAAATGGGGGAGAGTGTTACTCTCAGCATAGAGAAGAAGCCTATCAAAGCACCGTGGCTTTCAGAGAAACTATCATAATAGCCGTCAAGGAAATTTTAATGGCAGTAACAGTAACAACTGGAACAAAGGAAAAACAATGGAGGGCCGAACTGATGCCACTTCCAAATTGAAGTACTTTTTATGTGAAGGACCTCATCGGGTGTCGAAGTGTCCTCAGAAGCGGATGGTGAATGCATATTGTCAGTTAGCAAGTGGCGGGTCAAGTTCAAAGCAAGAGGCCCCGTAGGATAATTGTCATAGTGAGATCGACTCCGAAGAGGATGAGGACGTAGTTGGGGCATTTTCACATCGGTGCAACACACTATCGCATCGGGTTGCTGAAAAGGATGATGTCCCATTGAAAGAGGCACAGATGGAAGAAGCGAAGGCTCGAATTTGTAGGGTCAAAAGCTTAATGTGCATTGATGTAAAAATCAATGGGAAGCCAATTAGGGCTATAGTGGATACTGGTGCTCCCCACAACTACCTTGCATGTACCGAAGTAGAGCGACTCGAACTTTTTCTGAAAAAGGGTAGTGGAAAAGTTAAAGCAATCAACTCCACTGCTTAACCAATAGCTGGAGTGGCGAATTCGGTGTTGATCAAAGCAGATCCTTTTGAGGGAAGGACAAATTTATCTGCAGTTCAAATGGATGATTTCAAGCTTATTCTAGGATTGGAATTTCTTCGAGATACTAAGACAGCAGTGTTGCCATATTTCGATTCGTTAATGTTGATAGGTAATAAGTCGTGGGTCATCTCTACACAAGTTGGGAGGATAAGCGAGAAGAGTATCTTAGCTATGCAATTTAGTAAGGATTTTAAGAGAAATGAACCTTCTTTTTTGTGCACTCTTCGATTAGAGGAGATTGAAGAGGTGAATGGTCCTATTCCAAAACCCGTTAAAAGGTTTATTCAGGAATTTGAGGACATCATGTCGGACGAATTACCAAAGAAATTACCACCAAGAAGGACGATTGATCATGAGATTGAACTTATTCCAGGCGCCAAACCTCCTGCCAGGGCGTCATACCGTATGTCTCAGCCTGAGCTTGAAGTGCTTAGGAAGCAATTGGGAGAAATGTTGGAGAGTGGAATCATTGTGCCTGCAAAGTCGCCATACGGAGCTCCTGTATTGTTTCAGAAAAAGGCCGATCGTTCTCTTAGAATGTGCTGCGATTATCGAGCCTTGAACAAGATTACTGTAAAAGAATAGCTATCCTATCCCACTGGTTATGGATTGCTTCGATCGATTGAGTCGGGCGAAGTATTACACAAAAATTCATCTTAGGTCCGGATACTAGAAAGTTCGGATCAAGGAGGGAGACGAAGCAAAAACTACGGTGATAACCGGATATGAAGCCTATGAATTTAAAGTGATGCCTTTTGGTTTGACAAACGCTCCAGCAACATTTTGTACTATGATGAATCAGGTACTTCACGGGTTCTTAGATGATTTTATCGTGGTGTACTTGGACGACATAGTAATCTATAGAGAGACATTGGAGGAACATGTCCAATATGTGAGGCAAGTTTTTAATCGGTTACGGGAGAATAAACTCTATGCCAAGCCGTCTAAATGCTCATTTGCTCAGACATCTATCAGTTTCTTGGGTCACACCATTGAACAAGGTAAAATTTGCATGGATTCGAAGAAAGTTACAGCCATCAAAGATTGGCAACCACCAAAAATCGTACATGATGTAC